GGGGAATTCTGGGAGTTGTAGTCCACACATCTTCAAGTCGCCAAGGTTGAGGAACCCTGATCCAGAACAAAGGGGACGGTGGTGCAAAATAACTCGGTTGGCTCTGAGAGAGCAGGGGGGAATATAGGACTATATCCTCTGCAGTGGGTCAGACAAACCACAGGAAGGCCCAGGGTGCTCTCTGCCTCACCATTGACTAATCAACACCCCTCCTGGCCTATGTTCATTGCTCTCCATTCTGCCCCAGGCTAAAGCATCAGCGAGGCAAAGGCACCCCAAAGACATCTGGTTCTGGCTTTGAGTATGTGAACCTCTCCATTATGGTTTACTCAGCAACCCATAGTTTATAAAATCTTGGTTTAGCATCACGTGTGAATGCAGCCATTGGTTAAGTTCACACATTGGCCTGGTTTGGGTCAGATAAACCCCAATGGGATGGATTCAGACATTACACCAATTTCAGAAGCATGCTTTAAAAAGCACAGATGGCTTCACACTCGGCCACAAACGAGCAAACCACATGATGGTTTAAGAACACCTTTAAGAACTGCGAGGGCTGCCACAGCCTTCTCCAATGGATGCCTTTCAGAACATTTGGATTACAATTCTCAAATTCCCAATTAACATGAGTGGAAATGGGGAGAATTCTTGTCCAAAATATCTGGAGGATCCCAGGTGGGGGAGAGGCTGTTCTTAGTTGCAGAGCAGCTGCCCAACTTCATCTGGTCCAGAAGAAGGAGTTTCGGAGATTTCCAGGGAGCGGTGGTTTGCTCTGGGGTGAACCTCTTTGCATTACAAACAGGTGACATTAAAATGCTCCTCTCTTCTGTCTCCCTGGGAGAGGACAAACGCTTGGCAATGATCCCTCACAAGGTTCACCAGTTTTGTTTAAGGTCAGATCCAGCTCAGTTACTGACAATTTCATGGAAACATCCATGTCTTTTTCTTGGAAATGTTACAGAAATAGTTTCCCATTGTCTTATCTTCCTGGGTTATGTTTCAACTTCCTAGTCTAGTTTATAGTCCTGGGATTTTCTAGCAACCTCCCAGCCAAATCCTAATCAGGGCCAACCTTGATTAGTTTTCCAGGATCAGCCAATGTTCCCTAGCTGCTGCCACCAAACTGGGCCAAATTTTGATAGGGCCCCAATTTGGAAGATGGGGGATCAGATTGGAAGGGAGAAAGGAGTTTCCTGAAATGGAGGGTAAAAATGAAATATGCTTTACTGCACTTTATTTCTACGGTGTATATAATAAAAAAGAGTTATCTAGGAATCCACATACCCAAAAGAGAGGCCTTCCCTCCAGCAGATCCCATACACTGGCTTCTAAAATCCAGAGCTGAGCATGTAATAGACTAAATGCTCAAAGTTGCTCCATACAATTCTCCATACAATTGTTGTCCCATACAATTGTCGCTCCATACAATTCTCAAAGTGAGCCAGGAAAAAAAGGGGAGGTACAGGTAGTCCTCAACTCACAACCATTTGTTTAACAACTGTTCAGAGTTATGACACAGCTGAAAAAAGTGACTTACAACCAGTTCTCACACGACCATCCTAGTATCCCTTGCAGTCACATGATCAAAATTCAGGTGCTTGGCAACTGGCATGAATTAATGCAGTTGCAGCATTCTGGGGTCACGTGATCACCATTTGCAACCTTCCCAGGGAGCTTCTGACAAGCAAAGTCAATGGGGGAAGCCAGATTCACTTAACAATCACAGTGATTCACTTAACGACCATGGCAAAAAATGTTGTAAAATCGGGCAACTCACTTAACAATCACATCACTTAGTGACAGAAGTTCTGGTCCCAGTTGTGGTTGAGGACTACCTGTATAGATATGCATTTAATCTGGGGAAAAGTATCTCATTACTCCAAAGAGAGCCAGAATCAATAATGCTGTTTTATCAAAGATAATTAACCAGATTTTGGAAATGTGTAAGCTTCATCCAAAAAATTACTCCAGAAGAAAACAGATTTGGATTTATCTGTTGAGATGTCTAAGAAATAGTTCGGTAGAATTTCCATGTTTTACCAAGGAGCAGCTAGTTTTTATGTTGTCAAAAAAGAGGGAAGAAGGGGTCAACCCTAGTTGTTGTTGCTGCTGCTGCTTTAAACCCAGCAATCCTAGGGCCTTTCTCCATTTGCACCTAATCATAGTTCAGACATAACTAGCAGTCTCTCTCTCTCTTTTTGCCAAGTCTCCAGGATAATACCTTCATCGTGTCCCCAACCCACGTCTGAAGAAGCTTACAGACAGCCTTGGTTGTTCCGGTTTTAGCTGTGTGTTTCCTCTTAAGCAGCCCCAAAGCTGTGAGGGTTTGGCATGAGCACCCAGTCAGGGGACCCCTAGGAAGTAGGATCAGATCAGCACCTGTTGTCTATGTTAGATTGGTGGAGACACGCACCTTCCTTTCCAAAGCCTGGACACTGGACATCATTTTAGGCCAAGGAGTGTCCGGTTCTTTCAAGCCAGTTTTTCCCCTTGTCTCCAAATCAGTCTCCAACTTGGAGATCTGGATCAGCCTGAACAGCAGTGGTGGGGGGGGGGGTGCTGTGCCATGAAGTGAGAGAGAAAGACCTCTATCTCTCTTTCTCTCTCTCTCTGAATGCAGGCTTTTAGTGCTCCTTCTGAAGGGTCTTTAAACTGGGTTGGGTTTAGCACTTCTCCAGATAAGTTCTACACCTGTGTTCAGAAGCAGCTGAACACCCACACAAAACACTTGGGGATACTCCGAGCAAGATTTAGATCTCTAGCATCTGTCACAACTGGTTTCCTCCCCGGCCACAGCCTTTGTGAAGGAAAGCAGTTGGGGGATGTGTTCATTGTAGCTTCCCTGTTTGGTGGGAGAGAAGGGACACGAGGACAGGGGAGTCCACCAATCTCTTTCCTTAAGGAGCTGCACACAGTAAATAAAGACACCATCATTTGGCAGCATCAGCAGGATAGGGACCAGCAGTTGGGGAAGAAATTTTATGCTGGTATATAGTTCTCTGTCAGCTCAAGGACTCGGGGAGCATACTTTAACTCAGTCATGAATGAAAAATCCCTAGAGCAGTGTCTCTCAACCTCAGCAACTTTAAGATGTCTGGACTTCAATTCCCAGAATTCCCCAGCCAGCATGTAGCTGGCTGGGGAATTCTGGGAATTGAAGTCCACATTTCTTAAAGATGAGATACATCTTAGAGGATGAGTATACATCACAACCCCAGACAGAGGCTACTTTGAAGGTTTGCAGGCACCTCCTGCTTTCCACCCAGACTCTGATGATACTTTTTGGCTTTTAGGATCATAGAGCGAAAGAACTGTAGAGCTGGAAGGGACCCCAAGAATTATTTGGTCCAACCCACTGCAATGTGTAGGAAAACCATTTAACCCACCCACAAGAGGTGGCTCTCCAGCCTCTTCTTAAAAACTTCCAGAGATGGAGAACCTATGGTCTCTGTAGGCAGATGGCTCCATTGTGGTAGAACTCCTACCATCAGAAAGTTCCTCCTTATGTTTAAATAAATATAAGTAGCTGCAGTTTACACCAATTATTTCCCTTTATGTATTCTTTATGTATTTTCTTGATCAAGCTAGCCTTCCCCCCCTCCCACCCACCTCACCACTGGTGATGTGATGTGATGCTTGATGAAGAAGAGATCTCAGAAAGTGACACTTTTTATGATCTTTGAATTGACTGATAAACATATTGGATGGACTCCAATAAGAGGAAGGAAGGGAGGGAGGGATTTTTCCTAGAAAAATATGAAGTATGAGAAGGTTATTTAAAAAACAAAACCTAGCAGAATCAAAATAAACCTGCAAAATTTCCCACTTCCGAGTCAAAACCAAACTTCATCCATGTGAAATGGGAGGAAGCGTTCTCAGCAGCTCACCTTTCTCCATATACTCTGTGATGATGAACATGGGCTTTTGAGTCACCACCGCGTAGAGCCTCACCAGGCGCAGATGGCGCAGCTTCTTCATCAGGTTGGCTTCAGCCAGGAAGGCTTCAGGCGACATGCTGCCTTGCTTCAAACTCTTGATGGCCACTTTTGTGTGGCCATTATAATAGCCTGTGGAGGGAGAGAGGGCTGAGGCTGAGGTCAACATTCACAGTTGAAGGAGAAGCTCTCTTCTGGTCATCAAAGCAGCCTGACCCTGAAGCCTCTCCATCATTTTGATCTAGCAGCAGGACTGTTTGTGGGGGAGAGGGTCAAGAAAGTCAAGATGATGGCCATGACCACACCACAGAAGCCTTGTCCCTTTCTTCATGCATCACACACTGCATGTAAAAGCAGGGTAGGACCTCAGTGGTGTGATTGTGACTGCCATCTTGACTTTTTTGACACACAAACACACATGGATGCCTCTACCCGGGTGACAGAAGCCTTGAGCCCTTCATGCCTCTTTGAACCCAACGGCTGTGTTCATACAACACACTTCACTTGGTTATGGAATTAACCCATTTTCTGAGTCTGCACAAGACATTCTAACATGCAATAATCAAATGAGCCGGATTCATACAACACACTAAGCCACAAAGAAGCTAGCTGAGGTTCAAGCTAACCAAGCATAGCATTCTGTGCAAATGCGGCCTCTGAGTTTGCAACGGATCTGGTTAAAACTATGATATGAACACAGCCATTGGTTTTCAGCACAGTCACTTCCTGTCACAGACTCTACAATTTGCAGCAGTTCAGGCTGCAAGAAAAAGTAGGTGCTAATATTTACATACAGTACTGTGAAAAAAACCAGATTAAAAGCTCAGCAGCAAAGCTGGTCTATACTGGAAACCCTGCGTTGTCAGGCAAATTATTAAAAATTAACTCAGTAACTTTTTAATAGCAGAAAATTAAGACAAGTCATATTTGGTGGGTGAGCCTGGATGTCAAACACAAGAAGTCCTTCACTGTCATTTGAAAAATACTGGGGAGTATAGATTGCTTGATATCTTTCTAAACTAATCTTTGGTATCATCATCCTGAGCTTTTCTAATGAAAGTGGAGATCCTTGAATTGCTGAAAGCCATGGCTGAACAGAGCATGCATGAACCCACTCCCAAAATTTCCTACAACGCTTACCCATCCAAACTTCACCAAACTGCCCTGCTCCAAGTTTCTCCACCAGCTTTAGGTTCTCTCGGGGCACTTCCCACTCATCCTGCCACCAGGGTTTCTGTGGCTTCTGAGCTTGGCAGGGTTTGCCAAGGCGGGTGCAGAGCCCATCTGTGTTGTCTATGAAAAGGGTGATGCAAAGGAGAAGATAGTAGATCAGATGAAGCCCATAGGGGGGGCAGTGGGCTAAGTCTGCATGTAGTATTGGAGGTTCACCAGGACAGGAGAGGAATGGAAGGGGCAACTATGCACGTGTGGGGCCATCTTTACAAATCAACCAGCATCATCTAGAACAGTGTTTCTCAACCTTGACAACTTTAAGATGGGTGGACTTCAACTCCCAGAATTCCCTAGCCAGCATTCTGGCTGGGGAATTCTGGAAGTTGAAGTCCACCCATCTTAAAGTTGCCAAGGCTGAGAAACACTGATCTAGATCAGAGAGCACCACAGAGACAGGGCAAGTCACTGCAGACAGAGCAGGCAGATACTTCCAGTTGACTGATGATTGAGTCACATCTAACATTCTCAGTTAGGACTGTGGGGGTATAAGCCTGTTTTAGAACACACTAGATGGTGCAAATTCTAGAGGGGCAGCAACTATATTAGTGCAATATATGTAATGGTATGTGAGAAAGACCTTGGGAGAATGGGTGAAGAGATGCTGCCTAGGGAACAGTCTGATAAGAGTGGGCATAGCCTGCAGCTGCATAATGGGCAGAGAAAGAGGCTCAGAAGAGACCCTCCTTAAGTTCTCGAGCTGTAAAGGAGATGGCGGGAGATTTGTACTTTCAGACTTGCAAGATTCTGTTAATGCAGCCTTACAATAAAGTAGAATTCGTTCATCTGGTCGTGTTTCCTGTCTGACCTACCTGGGAAGGCTGACAATATGTGCTAAAACCACAGACAGCATCTGGCACTTCACAGCCCTTACATTAGTATGTCAGTGATGCTGGCATTTTGAGACCAAAGGTCCCACTGTATGGTAAAAGAGGACAGCCCAGTCCCACCCACCAATAGCCCACAGGCCGGAAGAGGCTCTCCACCACAGGCAGTGACTATCACCTTACTTGTGTAATGTTCCACCAGGCTGTGCAAGCTGTCAAAGGTGATGCGCGGAGAGATGTAGAACCCGCCGTTGTCCATATTCCGTATCCTATAGTGCTTCACAACTTCTCCTTGGTTCTGGTCAAAGTCTCGCACAGAGAGGGAGAAGGAGCCTGGGCAGAAACAGAAAGGGGGTACTTTTCCATCCCTTTTTCAGCTGGGGGGGGCACGTGCTTCCCTTGCTCCAGAATGCCTCCTGCCTGGCTGAAACATTTGTGTTTCCTTTTGTCAAATCCCTTCGTTAATTCCAGGGGGCTCTGGGGGGAGGGGGTGTCAAAAATGTCAACACTCACCTTATCCAGAGGTGCCCACAGGGAGGTGGTCCAAAAAGTCAAGATGGCAGCCACAGCAATGCAATTGAAGCCCCATCCCTTTTAGGTGATTAAAAGGGGCAGGGCTTCACTCTCATTGCAGTGGCTGCCATCTTGATGTTTTGGACCACCTCCCTGTGGGTACCCATTGAGTTCTGCTAGTTTTAGGCTCAACGCTTTGCATCTTTGCTCCTGAATCTTTTCACTTTTGCCCCACCATGTTCAAATCTGTGATTGAGAGAAGCTGCGTCTATTTCAGATGGTAGGATTTTTAGCAGCTCAGCCTTGGGGAATTCTGGCCGTCCCAGAAAAAGATGGAAGGGCTGAGTGATAGATGGGACCTCTGTTGATACCTGCAAAGCAGCAGTCAGAACATGAGTTTGGGGACCGTTCAGAAACTGCTTGGGAGTCAGTTGGGGTTCAAATTGGAGGCGTATTGTCGGAAGAGAGCTACGTTAATGTACGGTAACCAGAATTCATCGGGTTGCATTTTATTAAACAGCGAGCAAAAGCTAAAGCTTATGCCTTTTAATGAAATAGGTTGGTCAGAAATGGTGCTACCTCCTGAAACTGGATGGGGAAAGCCGTTCAGGGACCGAGCACGCAGCTGAGCACCATGTATTTATTGTTAATTGCGTTGCAGACAGTATGTGGTTGGGTCCGATGGTGTGAGAGAAAATGAGAGGCTGAAACCTCACTGACAAACATTCTGAATTTGGATTCGTCAGCCATCAGGCAGAGGCAGGGGGAAGGCTGTGGGGATGGTGATATACTCTAGAGCAGTGTTTCTTAACCCTCGG